CTTGTCACGTGCCTAGTATGCGACTGGCTTGTCATAAGTCTAGCATGCAATTGGTTTGCTAGGAAGCTTGACGTGTGCTGAGCATGCTTGGCTTATCGCACACCTAACGCATGACCGGCTTGGCCTCGTGGTTAGCCTATTACACATCCAAGCACATGAGAAGCTAACTTCCATGCTCGTACGTGTGAACATCGACATGCAACATTAGCCTCATGCACCCTCACTCTTTTAAACCCAAATTTTAGTTTTAAAGTGTATATAAAATATCAAAAACACATGGTTTACAATCAAGAATTGCTAATTCATGTATCCTATGGAGGAAACTTTCACTTTAGAAAACTTTTCATTTTTGAAAATATTTTCCAAAATAGGAAACTTTCAAATTGGAAATCTTTTCAAAATCATTGCTTCTCTTTTATTGTGTGAATGTTTAAACTTATGCAAGTGACTCAATTGGCTCATAAATATTTTAACAATGTATCAAGAATAAAAATCCCTCATTTATCTCTTGACATATAAATCAAGGTTAGCGTCTAACAAAGCATCATGATTACCCACTTCTCTAGGAGAATTAATTAATCCATAATTACCTTTCATGAGCATGGTTACTATATAATTTAGTCTTCATGTCAATTTATCACAATACGATCTCGAACTTGGTTATTAGTCTATTTGATTATGATCACATAAGTCTTCTTCGATTCTCAAATGCCTTAGCTCTTAGAGTAAATCAACTATGCTTTATTAGTGTACTCCTACCTGTGGCCATAGATTTTTTAAGCAAACATTTATCGAAGTGTAATGTGATAACTCCTTTAACATACAAGGAATGACATGTCCTATCTTAGTCATCCACCTACCTCCATTAGATTCCTAGTGCACCCAACTAATCACCCATATGCATCCCTTTAGTGGGTCTATCAAAAAGAGTGTCAAAGTACATAAATCCTCTAATGCGATAATCATGATGACTTTAAATCAAAAGATCGATTGTACCCATCTCGTATGAGATTCTCATTGACTAAACCCAATAAATTCTCATGACAAGTCAAGTTAAGTGATATGTTCTCTTAATAGTAATCATCTAAGTATTTGCTTTGGCATCACCATGCCAATAAATGTGAGATCTCCTATTGCCATTTTATAGCATGAGGATAGCATTCACAAGTATGTGAGATCTCCTATTGCTATCTTATAGTCAATTTCCATTCTTGACAATGCTATAAATTAGGATATTTAATGATACCATTTAAGTGTATTAATGTTTGTCTCACATCTTTCGATCAATTATTAAAGCAAATGCATATTATATAAACTTTTATCTAATTCTATTCAATAAATAAATATAAACAAATAGGAATTAATAGAAATAATTCTTTATTATTGATAAAATAAATAATGCAATGATATAATAACTCAAACCATCTAATTAAGGTTGGTTCTTAGGCACCTACACTAACAATTTACGATAGGATCGCTTCATAATATACCAACGGGTAGGATCTTCTAATAATAAACCATCATTAAGGTAGAGTCGTCTCACAATAAATCATCATTTCGGTAGGGTTACCTAATAATAGATCATCATTCATGTAGGGTCCTCTTACAATAGACTATCATTTTAAGCATGATCGTCTCATAATAGATCATCATTTCAAGCAGAGTCACTTAACAATATACCATCATTTTAGGAAAGACCACCTCCTAATAAATCATCATTTCTTGTTGGGTCATCTCACAACGAGACCATCATTTTAGGCGGGATCACCTAACAATAGATCATCATTCGGGTAGGGTCACTTCACAATAGAGTATGATTTCAACCAAGGTTGTCTCACAATAGACCATCATTATAGGTTAGGTTACGTAATAATAGATCATCATTCAAGCGGGGTCGTTGCACAATAAACCATCATTTCAAGCAAGCTCGCCTTCTAATAGATCATCATTTAGCCATGGTCATATCACAATAGACTATCATTTCGAGCAAGGTCGCCTCACAATAGACCATCATCCAAGCAAGATCGCTTCATAATATAACATCATTTCGGGAAAAATCAACTCACGAGTAAACCATCATTTAGGAAAAGTTGCCTAATAATAGACCATTATTTCGAATAGGGTCGCCTCATAATTGACCATCACATATTACTTTTTTAAGATAGGTCTTCTTTGACAACAAGATCATCGCATTTTTAGTTAATAAAATAGGCATCAAAACCATCATATTTTACTTTCAAGATAAGTCATCTTCACAACAAGGCCATTATATTTTACTTTTCAAGATGGATCGCCCTTTATATTAAGGCCATCACATTCTACTTTTTAAAATAGGCCACCCTTTATAATAAGGTTATTGCATTTTACTTTTTAGGGCAAACCACCTTTCACAACAAGGCCATTATATTTTATTTTTCGGAGCGAGACCACCCTTCACAACAAGGTCATTGCATCCCGATTTTTTAGGACGAGCCGCCCTTCATCATAGGACTACCATATTTTACTTTTTATTGGAAGTCATCTAGAACAATTAGATTATTTTTTGCCACTCGATTTACTTTTTTTTTTTTTACAAGCTCACTAACCAAACCCAATCTAAAATTCACATTCTAGCATTTATATCATAAGCATTATAAGGAAGGAAAAACTATCATAACCCAAAACTTAGGTTATATTTATTTTTTAGTATGATTTTATTCCTTTTATATATTTTTTATTTTATATTACTTTTTATACCTATTTTAGTCAATTTTAAAAGTTTATTTTTCTCTTTTATTTTTGTTTAAAAAAAGAAAAAAGGAAAATAAACAAATTTTAATTACATAAACAATCTTTCAAAAAAGGAGGAAAATAAACAAATGATATATATATCATTTTATGCAAGATTTTTTTTTTAATAATTTTTTTACGCACCATCATGCACACACATGAAATGAATTTTCAAATTTATTTTATTTTGTTCATAAATGATAAAAATCCGAGTACTGGATTTGATTTGTAGTGAACAATGGTCCGAATTATTTAAGAATGATCCTAGTGTGGTAAGTCATTCTAGTGTGACTCTAAATTAAGCCTCATTACAAGTATGAAGAGGTGAGGGTACAAAAAGAGACACAAGGATTAGGATTCGAGTAGTGCTTTTTTTCTTTTTTGGTTTCTAGAATGAAGAACAACTTGGGTTTTATGAGAGAACAAATCTTAGGTTTTAAGTCTAAGGAAGCAATTCTTGTGATTAGGACCGTTCTTAGGTTAAAAAAGAATGATTAAAAAAAAACGTAATTTTATTTTGAAATGTGTCATTGGGTTTTAGGAAGCTCCTACTTCATTGAAGAAGTTCATTTGATTCTTCAAGTAAAAATCAATCCTATCTCACACATTTAACCACCCGGCCTTCGAGGAAGTTCATTCTAATATCTTGACACACTTTAAATCACCAAAACATCCCTAAGCTTTTGCATGTCTAGATTTTATAGGTATGATTCCTTTTCTTGTTTTTTTTTTCTTTAGTTATTTTCCTTAACCAATGATGCTCCCAAGGGTTCTATAACACAAAAACATACTTTAGGTAGCTCATTGTTGTAAAATCCACGGGTGGTCAATTTTGAGTTTAATCTATGCTATCTATCTATGTGGTGAGATGAAATAGGAGAAGAAATAAGAGAAAAAGAAATGTAAGCTAGGAGAAAAGAAACGAGAAAGGAGGAAAAGAAAGGTCATTGGTCCGGGAAAGGAAAGGATGAAAGAAAAATAGTGAGAGGGTTAGAGAGAAAAATAAACCCACCAAAAAAAAAAAAAAAGCGAGAGAGGCTTTGAGCCTAGCTCGTGGAGAAAATGAACTAGGTTGGGGCTCGGCCTAGCCCAAGAGAGGAAAAAACTTAGGGTATTAGGTGCTGGGCTGGGGCTTAGCCTAGCCCAAGCAGAGCGGACCACTAGGCCCAAAAGGCCTAATAACTTTATTTATTTTTATTTTTGGCCATCTCCCTAGGTTAATTGAATTTAAAATTTTTAGGCATGCTTCATGTTTTCACTTGTAGTCCAGATTTTAATTTTTAGAAATTTTGAACTCTTTTTGCTTATTTATTTTGATTTATTTGGTTTAATGCATGTTTATTAATTTTGCTTAGTATTTAAATTTTAGTTTAGCTTAGTATTTAATATTAATCAAATATAAAATTATGGTTGTGTATTTTATACTCATATAAATCTGTAAGGATTTGTCAATTTAATTTTAGATTTATTTAATGTTGAATATTGCTTAAATAACGTTAGTTTAATTAAATAATTAATAGGTGGATGAATCATCAATTTTTCTAATTTTTAGGGATCGATGATGATTTTACACCAACATTGGAATATATATATATATATATATATATAAATGAGAAGAAAAAATGATAAAAAAAAAAGACATAGAAAGAAAAGAAAAGAAAAAAAAGGGAAAAGAAGAAGAAAATATAAAGAAATGTTAGGTGAAAACTAACAAGTCTCTTGTCAAATAGGGACCGATGTTAATTCAAATCAATCACATTTTAGTGATTAGGTTGTTATCCAAAATACTAGTTTTATCAAGATATAAACTAGATCCAATGTTGAATTGACAAGACTTTCGATGACGGAATTCAATAATCGATTCAATATGATGTTACAAATAAAGTAAAAAATTTTATTTGACTTAGATAATAAATTTGGAAGTTGATTGAAAAATAAGTTGGCAAAAAGAAAAATTTTTTGGATTAAACTAGATGTGGTACATTGTCTCGGAAAGTGTGTTTTTGGATGATTAATATCTTTTCAATGGTATAATCAACTCCTTAATAAAGAATACTCGAACCAACGTGAATTTTAGTTTTTGTAGTTTTTTTTAATATTAGATGACGACTTCAAAACATGATTTAATTCACATCTCAAATAAACATAAATAAACAATAATTTTTAATTAGAATTTTTTAAAAGTCTTGTAAATGTCGGATAACTCCAAACATCATAAATATATTTCTCAACTAAAGACCAATGAGTTTGAAAAACTTGCCAGCCATACCATCATTTCTAAGAGCTTTGGTTGGTTGGATAGCAAAGTCAGCTTTATTGATCTCAGCTTTAGTAACTCGTCTGGTTAGTGAAATATTCATACGGCGAGGTAATCCTCTCGGCAGATGGCGCCGTGATTGAGCTACATTAGGAGATTTGGAGGAGGTACAAATGGATGTGAAATCGGAGACTCCAACATCAACCACATCTTGATGGTCATGGCGCCAAGAACCATGATTATCAAACAAACCATGGATAAAGTTTGTTTTCCTTCGCTGACATGCTTTAGTATAAAAAATATTTGGTATATGTGTACCCAAGAGAGAGCCACTGTATCCTAGACTTTTACTTTCCATATTGTTACTCCTGTAAGTTCTCTACCCAAATTCGTGGAGACTGAGCTTTACTCCAGTGCAGTAATAAAAGTTGTGGAGAGTTACGTGGAGGTACTTCATATTTTAGTGCATTACTCAGAGCCAGCACAGTGGAATAAGCATTATATCTTGTATTTGTAGTTGATTAAAAAACTTAATAAGAATTCAAATGCAGCCGTAAAATAGATACATTGCTGAATCATGTAAATCTTATGTCATGTGATTGTTATTATTTTTCAGTTTTATTTTTTACTTGGTTCGTTTCTAACAAGAAAAAGTGTCACGGTCGTTTAAACCCCTAAGCTCTTGTTTAAGAGATTCAAGCTTTAATCGAGAACTAGAGATCCCTGTTTTGGCCAACTGCCCTAAATTGTGACGACATGATTACAGTTTAGTGGATAAGCGAAACATGCAAGATCCCTGAACCTGCTCGGACCATGATTGCCGCATTACAACCTTAGCCTCCTCATTATGGAAAATTTTGATATATCTATATGTAATTTTCGTAATAATAACTACAAAAATCCTTTATATATATATATATATATATATATATAAAGGATATAAAAGGAGAAACACTTCATAATACATTTAATTGTTAAAACCATATAAGTTAAGCTTTGAATCTATGAGTATTCTTTAACAATATAAAAATCGGTTAGTTAATCTTGGAAAAGATTTACCAAATTTTTGAATTAATTAATGTCGGTAATCAAATGTAATAAAACAATGTGAATTCAGCATTATAAATTTTATAAATACAAGAGCTAAACAAGAAACAATTTTCCTCTTTAACCCCAGCTATCTCTTTCTTATTTATTTTTAAATAATCCTAAATTTGGGGGCTATACAATATTATTACTAGTACGTTCATTAAGTTTGTTGGTGTTCTTATTGATTTAATTTGTTTATTTATTTTTATCATTTTATACCTGTTTGGTAAGTTTACCATACTACAATGGAGATTTATTCCAGATTTTGGTAGTTTGGAGTCTAGATTGTTGAGACCAAAGTGAATAGCTAGGATGAGGAAAAATTATCAAGATACCAGAGGTGCTGGGTGAATTAATTGATAGGAAAAAAATATCATTGGTTTGTCTTGTAATATATATAATTTCACGTCAAATTCTATTTTCTATTGTATAAAATCTTTTTCTATTTGCTTCTGAGCATACATCTAAAAGCATCTAATTCCTTTTCTTAACATTGAAACGCTTCGGTTTAGCTTCGATAATTTGAGATGTAAATTTTTTTTTTTTTTCCTTCTTCTCAATAAAAGGCGAAAAAGCACGAGTAATCAACAAGCCCAAAACACAATGTATTATTCACACTTCAAATTGCCTCTAAAAGTATGCATATTATCAAAACCGCTATAAATTAGTATTAAGAAAAAAAAAAAACTAATTTGACTCTCTAGGAGAACTGTTGAAACCATTACAATATAATCTAAAAACGTAGTAATTAATAATCACTAAAATGAAGCACTTATAAAGATAATAATACATAGGGTATAAAAAACTTAAATTGAGACGTATGAACACTATACCTTTTATTGAGACAATGCCTGTCTTGTCCTATAGTATGTATTTAATCAACAATATTACATTCCTCTTTGAACATTTATAAAACCGTTGGATGGCTTTATATATGTGGCTAAGATCTTTACAAATTAACTATTACCAATGGTCACATCTTATCAAGTATAATAATAAGACACTGATAGGGGTTAAATATTTAAAGGAAAAATGTTAAATGAGTATTTAAGATTATGTTTGGTATGGGTTAAAAGTTTGGGAGAGAAACGTTAAGGAGGTAAGATTTAAAGGTGAAGTGTCGAGGGTGTAAAAAATATTAAAGGGGTGAAGCTTTAAGGATGTCTGGTAGGAGTTGAAAAAATTATAGAAATAATGGGTCACAAAATATATAAAAATTAATTTTAAATTAGATAAAATGACAAAAAAATAATAATATATATTTGTGGTCTAAAACGAAAAGTGGAAATAATTTATATATATATATATATATATATAGATTAGCATTATGTTGAATAAAAAAGAGAGAAATGCACAAAAATCAATTTTTTTTATCTCCCATAACAAATTATGTACTCCTCACCTAGGGGTGAGCATTCGGTTAAACGGTTCGGTTAAGCATAATTCGGTTCGGTTTTCGATTAACCAAAGTAGGAAAAATAAAAATCGAAACCGAACCAAAATTAATTCGGTTTGTAACCAAATTATTTCGGTTCGGTTTTGAAATAATTCGGTTTAACCGAACTTTTTCATTACTTCTCCATTTCGGACTTTAGACAGTTCTTCCAAAACTTCTATTTATTTTTTCTTTGCCTAAGCTAAGTAATTAACAATGCCGAGCTAACAAGTAACCACTTTCTTTTCTAAAAAGAATTCAACACCAAAAAAAAAAAATTCACAATTAAAGTCAAATTTAAACACCCAACAATCCAACATGTTTAACATTCATATATCGAAAAAGAAATAAGTCATGCAAAATAATTGTTGATGAAACAAAGATCCATATACAATACAATCGACATTAAACAACAAAAGCATAGTAGAATGTCCGTTCTCATTTCTCAACAAAGAGGATGAGACACAAGCTCTCTTCCCGTCCTAAAACAAATGATTTACGTGCATTTGCAATACCTTCACTCCTTCGAGATCCGCAATAAAATGAAATCCCAACAAACACTCAATGCTCCTAAAAGAGGATATTAACATGCTACGAAAATCAAAGGCGAGTAGGCCTACCGCCCATCGTCGGTAGGCGGGAGAAACCAAGGCGATAAGCCTACGCCCACCGCCGTAGGCCTACCGCCCACCTAAGTAGGCCTACGGTAGTGGGTAGTAGACTATCGACGGTGGGCACGAGGCACCGAGGCGGTAGGCTACTACCTACTATGGTTCTCTTCTCTAGTTCAATGAAAATGAAAATTACAATTCCCACTTACTAACTAAACTTGCACAAACAACGAAATAAAAAATCAAACTTAGAAAGTAGAAACTTAGCAACTTACACATACCATTCATCACGCTAAAACACTATCAAGTCATCAACCCATCAAGATTCAACCATTTGTAATAGAGGTAGTGGCAAGTGGTAACTCTAAAAATATAAGATAAAAAAATTATACTTTTAATATTAATATAAAGGAAAGAAATAACAAATGAAAATGTAAGAGTTATAGAAATTACCATCTTGCATTTTCTTAACATCTTGCAAATTTTCTTCAATAATAATCGGTGTCGATGAATTTTTAATCCAATCTTGAGCACATATAAGAGATTCCACTAAGCTAGGAGTCAAAGAACTCTTAAAGTAGTTAAGAACCCTTTCTCCAGTGCTAAATGTCGATTTTGAGGAAACAAGAGAAACAGGAACTACTAATATATCCCTAGCCATTTGTGAAAGGATGGAAAATCGAGGAATATTGATTTTCCACCATTCTAAAATCTTAAAATCAACACCGTTATTTTCAGCACCTTCACTAAGATATTTATCCAACTCCGTTTTATTTCCTCCACCTCCAATATTACACTTGTATTTTTCAAAACGCATCATTATCTCCTTTTTTATTCTAATTTCTTCTTCATCAATCATTTCTTTATTTGTATAACCCACATCTATTTCCCGACTCCCACTACCTTGGCCAATTTCACCTTGAGATGATGACGAACGACAATAGAAATCATATATAGCATACGTAGATTCCTTGACAATATTTGACATTCTTTGACCCTCCAAATCACCATACAATTCATTGATTGAAAATTCAATAAATACAAGTTTATGCCTAGGATCAAGTATTGTCGCAATATAAATTAACTTATTCATTTTCTTAATATTCCCCCAATACTTCTCAAACTTTTCTTTCATTTTTTTGGCCAACGTAAAATCATCTAAATCCCCACTTCATTGCCATTTTTTCAAAACATGTTCGAGCACATAAATCTCTTCAAAATAAATATTTAAAGTCACATACAAAGAACCCGAAATACACAAAGTAAGATTGTAAAAAATTTTCAACATGCCCACCAACTTCTTACAAGACTTCCAATCATCAACATTAGGTGGGCCAACAACATTATCACCATGATCTACATCAAATTCACTCCTATATAAATGATCAATTTGCTCATATCTCTTAAAAGCTCTCTCAAACTTTAGAGCCGACTCTAACATCAAGTATGTTGAATTCCACCTAGTAGCAACATCTAGTTGTAACAAACTCCTAGAATCAATTTTCTCAAGTTGAATGCATTCCTTAAATCTTTTCAACCTAGTCGGAGATTGCCTCACAAACCTAACTGGCCGATCGAATACAAACGATTGAAGGATTAAAATGTTTTAACCTATCAACAACAACTAGATTCAAAGTATGTGCCATACACCTCATATGAATGAATTCACCATCTAAGATGCTATAATCCCAATTCTTAATCACATCTTTTAAGTGCCTAATTGCCACATCATTCGAACTCGCATTATCAACCGTAACACTAAAAACCTTCTCAATTCCCCAATCAATCAAGCATTTCTCAATGGCAATACCTAAATTTACTCCTTTATGACTATCAATCGGACAAAAATTCAAGATCTTTTTATGCAACTTCCAATCATTATCAATAAAATGAGCCGTTAAACACATGTAATTGATTCTTTGAATAGATGTCCATGTGTCCATAGTAAGGCTAATTCTTTGACTATTTTGTTTCAAAAATTGTTTCAACTTTATTTTCTCATCTAGATAAATTTGATAGCAATCTCTTGAAATTGTAAAACGAGATGGAATCTTGAATCTAGGTTACAAATTAGACAAAACAATTTTGAATCCTCTACCCTCTATATGCTTAAATGGAAGCTCATCTAAAATGATCATTTCAGCTAAATCTTTTCTACTAACAATTTGATCAAACTTCCATATGGTAAGATTGCTTTCTCCCGCTTCAAGCTTTCTTAGGTCT